ACAAAATGCATCTACAATCCCTTTAAGGATATAACCCAGGATTTTTGGCCCTTTAGATAATTCTATCCATATCTACGAGCATCACATGAAATATCTTATGATCAATTGATTCGTCGAATACTAAAGATCCTTCTGAAAATCTAATTGAAGATTTTACTATTTAGTATAATAGTATAATATAATTTGAATGAAAATCACTATTCTTATATTGTGAAACTTGTCATAAATGTAAAATATGTGTTGTATCGAAACCTCTCAGTTAACTCTTGTAAAATGTAAAAATAAAGCAAAGTTAATTGACGTATTTTCATCTATTACAGTCATCAATAGTTTTCTCATTATCAACAATGAAATGTCGTTTGATAGTAAACATAACTCTGATACAGTGTCACTGAATCAAGAACCGATCTAAGTTTTTTACTTTACACAACTGTTTTGATCAATATCAACAAATGGATTATTATTATTATTATCAGTAGTAGTAGTAGTAGTAGTAGTAGTAGTAGTAGTAGTAGTAGTAGTAGTAGTACCGACACTCAAGAGTTCACTCAATCTCTGAAAGCTGCAGACAGTTTCACCATTCATAATTCGTAAAATGACACCCCTTAGACCTTTAGATCACTGATGAAAAATTAGTAAAATATCCTTTAGTTATCCACCAAACTCATCCATTTAGTAAAATGATTACAAGAATTACATTAAATCGCTTATTAAATGCAAATATAAATCCTACCAATAACCTTCAATTTATTTACTATAATTAACACATGACAAGATGGTGAAAAATTACACACTATTTTATAAAATAATTTATAATTAAAATCATAATGTTCTGTAGTTTAATACATTAACAAATGGATTCGATCGAGTTCAAGTATACATCACTGAACAGTCTCGAATCAGAGTGGAATAGCCATCCAGTAACCTCTATTAAATAATTTAGTTCATAAAAAAAATACGTTCACACTAAACAGAGCTCCAAATGCCCTGGTACAGCCGAGGATGGGGAGAGTTACCTCTCCATCTCGAAATGCTCTTAAAGTGGCCACGTCCATACAAGCATTGTCAGGGAAGTACTCTTCACTGCCTTCTCGTGGCATTACTGTTGTTTAGAAATTGACATGGCGAATAGCGAACGTCTGGTGCCCTAACCGGGCTGATGGATATGGAGGATCCACCCAGGGGAGTTGGAAAACCCTGATTTCAAACCAATGGTAGACATGGGCTCCACGATCCTGAAGGAACAAATGGCGTATGAACCAATCAATGGTCACCAGCTACCATGGGACTGCATCGGCTGACCTTGCTCCGTTGCCTTGTGGATTAGGCCTTTAGGTCAAAGGCTCAAGGCGTGGCCTCCTAAGAAAACCACCTGCTTCGATTTGGGCACCCGGGCACTATCACAGCATATCTGTTTGGTGCCTTCTTGTGCCAATATTTATGTTTTTAAATAAATAAATATGGCGTACTAACAGAATTTGGTGTATTATTATTTAAAGTAAGTAAATGCACGTACATGAATGAATTGATTTTCATAATACTACATAATCTGACACCTATTAGTAATGTATGGTATAAATTGTATTCATACTATTCACCAGAAATTTTATTAGATTATGGTTATCTTGTAAACTGGGAATAAATAATCTAAGAAAGAATAAACAAAATGATTTATTCCCAACAAAATAAAATCAGCTATTATATGTCACCTAGACAATTGACACTGTTTCATAGACTCCTTGTCAAATATTTACTATTGACTAATTTGGGAGGTAAATACCAAAGTGAGAATCTGTAATCACTTCAGCGACATTAAAAGTGAAACAAAAGTGACCGACGGCAACAGACGACTATTCAGTAATAATCATGAACCGACTCAGATGTTATACATGAACTATAAGTTGCCAACTTAGTGGTCTGAAAATTCGGTGATCACCATGACACCTGGAAGTTTTGATTTCGATCCCTGATAAAAATATTAATCCTTAAGGTCAAGAATTTTCATAAATGTACAAAATAGTTGTTGTGTGCTTTCTTATTTTTAATGTTTGTTTCATTAAAGTCAGTCTGTAATATGAAATTATGAAACAAAAACATCGAACATTAAAAACATGTAATTCATTTTGGTATTCATCATAGACAGCATATATGCTACTGCATAATAATAATATTTCCGTGTTTATATGTTTAGACTCTCAAGATGGATAATGTAAGTATTTGTAAGTGTCTTGTCTAATAATCTCTAGAATTCAAGAGAAACTGACAATGAAAAAATTATTCATCTAATTGTATTTTTTTCAAATTGATTTTGTCAAGGTAAAATTGGGTAACGACAAAATAACCTTGAAAATTCAAATCAATAAGAAATTTGTGCCAATTTTTTTTAATTCTTTGATTATTGTTGAACATAAACTAATAAATAAAAGCAACTTGAAATGATGTATGATTTATTTCAGAAAGTAAGATTAACTAAAATAATAAAGATCATGAAACATCTTCATTTCAAATAAATCAATAATGTGTAGTTCCAGAGTGAACATCAACTCTGAGATGCAGGTACATCCAGCTGACGAGTTCCAAACAGGACGAAACGCGCGTCAAACTGGATTCCACTGCTAGCCACTATCTATCTTTGCTTATAATGCTTGTAAATTAAGGCAATATTGAGGCAACGCACAGTATGCACATATGCCAATAAGAGACTGATCAATTTCAGTCCTAAAACATCAATGGGAAGATTCAAGTAAAACAATACCAAGTGAATAGTGTGTATATTCCTGATTTTATATGAAATTAAACAAGAGACCTGATGTTACGTTGTCACTGACTAGGTAACTAAATTAAGGTTTTAACAATTTAAATGTATCAGCCAGTGATCTATTGATATAGGTATTAGAACTATAAAGAAGTCTTGACAAACTTTAGTCAACAATAAGTAGTCACTTGTTATTCAACTTAATGATGATTCAGTTTTTGATATTATCCACATTTGAAGTTTACGTATATTATTTTCATTTTAAATTTATATTCTATTTATTGAAATGAACTTTTAAAATGATTTACAAATAGGTTAATCATAATAGACATCCAATGGTAAACATATTCAACAACTATATTCTTAATTTAAACCTATTGACTTTAATCAGAGAGGGATTTTGTGGATATTAAAGTAAATTAATAGTTGGATTCATGAGTTAATTGAAGCTAGACCACCATGGAAACCACAATTGATTGATTACTAGGTGGTGATCAATGTCATGTGTGTCAAGTCCTTACTAGTTCAGATCGAATACTATCGACCAAGTTGCAATGTGGCCACTAGTCTAGGTGATTCGACATTGCGTGATCAATCAATTGTGATTACATCTCAGTCCTACAGGAGGTCAGTCGCCACCCGGATAGCTCGTTGGTAACGTCTCTGGGTGTGAGGTTGGGTGACAGGGGATCGAATCCGTCAGGAAGCACCGGTTCCCTCAAGATTACAGGCACACCTCGCTGACGAGTGCCAAGTAGCACGAGACCTGGGTCCAGGGTTTCCTGTCGACTACCTCCAACCTCTGTGTTATTTTCACAGTTAAAGTCAATAGTAATTTAATAGTTGGACTCATGCGTCGATTGAAGCTAGACCACCATGGAAAACCTGCGAGTATTGGACGGCCGTTTCATCCAAGTATGGGACTGCTAGAATCTCACCAGGTGGGGTCGTGGATGCACACTACTGCGGAGTCCCATACTAGAACGAACGGCTGTCCAGTACTTCAAGGTTTACTATAGTGGTCTAACTTCAATCGACTCATGAGTCCAACTACTAAATTACTATTGACTTTAACTGTGAAAATATCACGGAACTACCAATTCATTTAGATAACAATTTTGGTAAATAAAATAATAAATAACATTAATTTGAATTATCCTTCAATATAGAATGAAATGAATAAGGGAAATTCATATTATTGGTATAATAAAGTTTGGGAGACTGTATAATCAGTCTAAATAGTTTACTGATTGAAAACTAGACAGACACTGAAAGAACTAATGAGGGCAAAACATAGCTGTTTCGTCCTTGTCCCGTACTCTACAGCATTACAAAAATTATTTTCAATGGTTGTTTAACTAAATTCATTGTGTGATGTAAACTATAAATTAATTTTAATTTGATACTGATTACTGGCAGTCAAACCTGGATAGAGAGTAAGCAAAGAAGTGGTGTGCATGGATAAAGTTCCTGATGACATCGTGGATGTCCACTACTGAGAAGTACCATACTAAGAATAAACGGCTATCTAATGTTTCCTGTTTTTCAGTAGTTATCTAACTAAGATTATTCCATGATGTAATCTATAGATTTCGATCATCCACACTAACCCTCTACAGTCATATTAATATTGATGAATATGTGAGAGATCTTGTCTGAACGAATTATTTTAATCTACTGTAAATATATCCCTGTTATAACCTACCACAGACATGCCTAATGTAACTTACTGCTGCTTGAGAACAAAGTATTATTATTTAAGATTATAAGGTCGTAGTTGGAGGTTTGATGCTATTTGGAACTCATCTGCAAGATATATATGTATTCTTTAACAATCTGATACTCTCTGGCGGATTCAATCCAGCCTAACTGTCAAAGACGTCACCACTGCACTTACCGAGTAGCGACTGATTTCCTGTAGGACTGAGGTATGAGGCTGGCTGACAGGGCAGCAACACTTTCCTCAATATTACATTTACCCTTGCTGACGAGTGTGAAATGGCATGAAACTTAGATTTAGAGTTTCCTGTCTTCCACATTCCATCACCAGCTGACATCTCAAATTAGTGCACGCGATGTCGAATCAATTAGATCAGTACCACACTGAAACTTGGTCGATAGAATTCGATCAGCACTAAGAAAGAATTAACATACATGGCATTAGTCACTGCTTAGTGACTAACCAATTGTAAATATTATTATCATTATTGTTAACATTATTTTCCAAACTAATCTTATTTTTTAGACAACTGGACATATACGAACAAATAACACGTAAAATTTGTTTTCATTGTTACCAATCTGATTTCTTTCGACTTTCGTAAAAGTGCCTTTTCATTTTCACTGATAACTTATGTAATATGGTAACGCGAACCTACTTACAAATCAATAATGATGGTTATATCTACCAGCAACCTGTATCATACTTCACACCGAATACACAAAATTTCCAACGACAATGGAAAAGTCATCAGAATTTACATGAATCACGCTTGCTTAATCGTCATGTATCTGATCAGTACATTACTATACCGACAACACGTTTCAATAATGATTCATATAAAAAAGTAAATGGATGTTATAACATCACTTTAAGTATCAATAATACTACTAATAATAATGATACTAGTAATCACTGTAATAGCAATTATAGTATTAATAGTGTAAACAACAATTGTGTGCAACAAAATGTTTACAAGCCTCTATCAAATTTATCTGACAACATCAATAATCATCGTCTAGTATCAAAAGAAAATTCCTCTACCATGAGGTTCGGTGAAAAATTACGTTCTACATCCCTACCACCATTATTACATACTACAAATTATTTTACTCCACAAAAATCAATAATTGCCAATACTGGCCACACTTCACCATCATTGGTCAATCAGATGTGTCATAAATTCTCTTCTACCTCCGCATGTCAACACAGTGGTGCAGATTGGGAAGATTGCCGTATTAGTATAGACTGTTTTGGTATTAAAGGAAAACATTGTAAATCAATAAGGCACCTACACAAGAATTACAGTTATAAATTAGCACCACAAACGCATTTATCATCAACACGTATTGGTAACACACAGAATGGACTGAATGATAAATATTTACTCCCTTTACCAATAAGGACACCTTCTATTCATTTAGAAAATATAAAGTTAAATAAAACATCCCAATCAATAAGATCGCATAGTTTATGCGCTAGATCTGTCCGTCTATCAATTATACCGTTAAATCCAATCTACAAAAGATCACCATCGTTATTAAGAAGAAAACAGTGTTTAACAAATCACACTAATCAGTCGATAAGAACTAGAACTACACCTTGGATTAATTCATTTGATTTACACAATTATCATACAGTTCTTCGCAATTGTTGGCGTAAAAATTTAATTCAAAGAATGGTAAGTTAATGATTTGAGATTTTGATTGTTATTGTCATTCATTTGTGTTCGTTTGGATCTTTCATAATCTATTTTTCTGTAAAATTATTGTAACTATATGAAATAAAGTGTATTGACTGTCAATTTTCTTTCACTTCTATAAACTAATCTATTTTGTAATTATCATCACTAAGGTTATTACTATTTATTTATTTAAACACATAGACATTGGTACATGGAGGCACCAAATAGATATGCGCCACATAAATCATTCGATTTATGTGAGGGCTGGGGTACTACCTGAGTGCCCAAACCAAAGTAGGTGGTTTTCTTAGGATGCTACAGCTCGAGCCTTTGACCTAAAGGTCTATTCCACAAGGCAGTGGAGCAACGTCAGCCGATGCAGTCCTATGGTAGCCGGTGACCAACATTTGGTTCATACGCCATTTGTTCCTTCAGGATCGTGGATCCCATGTCTACCATTGGTTTGAAATCAGGGTTTTCCAACTCCCCTGGGTGGATCCTCCGTGTCCACTAAAGTTAGATTTGATAAGTTCAAATAAATTGAACATTGAGTAGGATGTTAGTAATAAAATAAGCAGAAATTAGAATTCTTATTTTTACTCATTGGGATATCATTATTTCATTATTCTATTTTGGTTTACAACAATACCATATGAAATATATGTCAATGTCAATGTGAAATATATTAAGAGAGCTGTCATTCAATTGCTTTCACGAATAATTCGTAACTATTAAAGTAGACATTTTTTTAGAAAAAAGAAGTCTCGAAAGGTCACCAAACGCATAATAAAAGTAACTATTTTCGTTGACAACAGAGTAGGAAGCTAAAAATCTTTCAACCGAATTAATAATAATAACATGATAGATACAATAGAAACAAAAGAATTGTGGTAAACTGAGTTGAGAAAACTTTCCAAATAGTTTTGTCAATTAATGCAAAAGTACAAATCATGAGGAACATCAAGCAAAATACTAACCTAAGTTGATAATGAAAATAACGGTTGGATGATCATAAATGCATTAATTCGATCAATATATAAGATTTACCATGGAAAATATATTATTATTATTATCAGCTTTATTCAATATTATATTTTTGGTACAATATAGAATTCTCAGCGCAAAGTATTTCAACAAATTTCCGTTTCTTTCTTCCTGGTCCGTCCTGGCGATAAATATTGAGTGATCACCAGTTAGATGTTAGCAGTTCAGTAAATGACACATCTGAATAATGTGCATTCTTTTCGCTGTATATTGCCAGCAACCACACTGGCTCTTATTGAGTTTTTTGTAACTTTGACAACGAAAGGTTGTACACTTTTCAGAAACGCAGCAGAATAAGTCATGAGATTAATAGACATAATGATATATTAAAACAAAGAAAAATAGATAACTTGTTGAAATATGTAGATGGCAGGAACAGGTAGCCCAGATGCTCAAGCAGGCCGCCCTTGTTGTGTATATACAGTACATACAAGGCGTACCACACACTTCTCAACAGAGGTTTTCATCTTCGAATGTTAGATTCTATTAAATAAGACCGAATGATAAAAGCATACTGACACACCGCGAAAAGTGTTTCAAATGGTTTCAACTACTAATTAGTAGTATAAAATTACATCATTATTTGTATAAATCTGTTGCTATTTTAAAAACTCCTGGACAGATGGATTAGCTTAGAAATAACTTGTAGGAAACTGTATTAATGGAATAATGTGCTATCCATATTTATCAGTATATACATTAAATTTCCCTATATATATATATATATATATATATATATATATATATATCATGACTTATTCTGCTGCGTTTCTGAAAAGTGTACAACCTTTCGTTGTCAAAGTTACAAAAAACTCAATAAGAGCCAGTGTGGTTGCTGGCAATATACAGCGAAAAGAATGCACATTATATGTATAACCATCGTTTTTTCAGGTTGGGAAGTATATTTTCCTAAAGTGTGTCAGATTAAAGCAAATTGAACTTACCATATCATAGGTAACACACACGTAAAGAGAACAGCTTGGACGTCGTGCTATATCATCACCACCATACATATAACCGTCGTGTTTTCCACGTGAATGCACTAAATGTTTGACACGTTATCCTAGATCTTAATCGATGAGGTTTTTAGCCCAATATGACATCACTGAGATAAGAGCTATGCAGATCAACACACCCAGTATCATATTTACAGTGATATTTAAGCTGTAAAAGAACTATCAAAATTTTAGACTAATGATGGATAGGCAGTTCGGTGATTAAGTCGTTAGACGTTCAACTACTAAGTCGCAGATTCGAAAACCCTTTCATATATTTCCGTTTTGGCAACTGATTGGTATCACTAGCCGTCACATTTATAATGTGTCTTGAAGTTAAGTACATGTGTCTATACATGATAACTCGGAGTGAGTGGCATAACAGTTTCAAAATTGGTTTATACGAAAAGAGTACCACACAATAATTTAGACTGATAACTTTTAACTATAAATCCATGGATTCTAACTTGAGGACATTAATCAAAATTTAAGTGACCAGTTAATACCATGAAACCACGGCAAATAATTTCAAGATAAAAACTTCTTTATAAATCTACTTTGACTATTAACTATAGTCTCTTACTCATTAATATTCTCTATTCTTTTGACACTTAGAATTAATTTTTCATGAAAGCAAGAGATCCATCTTAATTGATAAACGGCAAAATAATTTGGTATGTGGCTAACAATGGGGCTTAGAACACTCATTTCGCCATTCTTGCTACTCGTCAGTTGGATATACCTCCATCCCAGTATTGATATTCACATCAAAGTGGTTGTCTGGATTCAGTGCCTTGGTGGGTAACCCATTGAGGGTTTGAAGCGAAAATTATTGTGTTCGAGTCTGGGTGTAAATATCAACACTAGTACGTGGCAGATACATCTAGCCGACAAGTCCCAAATAGGACGAAACTTGTGTCCTGGATCCCACTGTTAGCCATTATGGATCTATTATAGGCCATATACGTAGGGTACACTTATGCCAACGAAGACTGATCAAAATTCAGTTTCTGATATTAATAACTGGATAACTCAAGTTTTTACTGTGATTTGAGACAAGTATATGGTAAAAACGTACAGTTGATAAACGTTGTTGCTTTTAACATTTTTATGAGCGTCTAAAACATTGCACCCTGTTTCTTTTTATTTATATTTTATTTAGGCTTTCAAAATTGATGATTTTACAATCCAAGAAGATCAAGTAAAAGGTGAAATATCATTACTCTCTGTTTTATTCATTAATTCTTTTCACTTTGATTTGTATAGATTTCCGTGGTACAGTTTTGATTCATTCATTGTATGCATTCATCATTTAACTTATTTGCCAGGTACAGATTTATGTACATGGCTTCTAGCTACGTTCTAAGTGTAAGAGCTAGTAGTGATACAACCAGTTTCCTTGAACGGACATAAGTGAAGAGGGGTTCGAATCTGAGACAATTGAAAGTCGAACTCCTTGACCACTAAGTCACCGCATTCAAGACGTAATTCCTTAAACGACCAGCTGAACTACAGAAAACTATTCTTACCTAGATTTTAAACCCACTTAAATTCCGATGTTCTGACGTCAGTGTTACATCTATTCGTAACATAGGACAAGAGAATTAAAATTATCGAGTGGAAACAGATAAAAAACTTCATAGTTTGTTTATATAAGTACCAGATCCGTTACCAATCATAAAATCATTACCATATATACTAGTGATTCTTAGTAACTTAAGATCAGGTTAGATTTCGTGATCTTCACACTTAAGAATAAATAGAGGTTGTTGATTTTAAATTCCACCCGGGCTTGATATAACCGATCAGAACAATAAATGTCGATGGAAACTCGATTGGTTTTTATCCTTGTTCAGATATATTTCATTGGAATACTTTGACATACAACGTCATTTGGAATTTACCTCCTTCATTGTCCCAATTTATGTAAATACATGTTTCTTACTTAATAACTAATTTAATCCTGTCACTCTTATTAGGGAATAGGCCATCAACCACCGCTATCCAACCAACTCTGTCCCGAGTTCTCCTTTCCAGTTGATGCCGAATGCCGTTCATCGTCTTTATTTCTGCCTCTAATTCCCGGCGTAATGTGTTATTTGGTCTGCCTCTTTTCCTTTTGCCTTGTGATGCGGTTTAATGGTTTCCTTATAGTGTAACCTATCTAGCTCCAGTTTCTTTCCTTTATTTCTTCCCCAGCTGAGACCCGGTTTATTCTCTTCTATAGTAGGTTACTCCCGATAGTCTTTGGCAAATAGAGTTGGAATGTCTTGCATAGACAGCTGTTTATAAATACCCGTACATTTTAATGACCATTCTGGTAGTTCCCTAAGTTAAATACACTAGTCGATCTAAGCTAAAGCACCATAGAAAATCTGGAATCACCAAAATACTAGAATCTTCATAAATTCCCATACTGAGTTCTCTAAGTTTCAGGTCTGTTAGTGTTGAAAATTCCAACTTTGGTGTTGGCTGACAGTCCTTTCGGTTTTCATATATTATTCACTTGTAGGAATGTATAGACATGTACTTATTATGTACTACTTCTATTTTTCTCCTTTTTCCAGTTGCCAAAGATGTTTTCAAACGTTTTGACAAAAGAGGACAAGAAAAAATTAGCACCACTGATTTAGGTCCGGCTTTTCGTGCACTTAATCTTACTGTTAAACCAGACACTTTGAAAGAATGGGCTGATCAGGTTGATGACGATGGTAAGAATTTCAAAGTGTTTATACGTAGACACCTTTTACTAATAATCTTATCAGTAATGATATTGCCAACACATTCATTTCCTTACAACAGAATACATCCAAGTAATCATTCTTTCGTACATTTGAATATACATCTAAGTGACAATTGTCTTCGTCACTAGATACGTCGTATAGAAGGAACTTTGATTCAAGCATTAAACAGTAATTTGTTTGGTGTAGCTAGTTAAGAAGAAAACAATTTACTCATCAATCTATCAAGAGAAATTATTTTTCCGGTACAAAGATCATTTTAACAATGAAAAGAAATAATGATCAATCTAGATAAAAATAATTCTAGATTAGCTAAGGAATAAAGTGTTAAGTGAGCAACTATGTATAAATGTTACTGAGTTAAATAAAGAGTTAACAATAAATTGAGTGATAAATATTCGGCTTGGTGTTTGATTAGGCTTAGGTATGTTAATATATAAAAGATAAATACCGACACAATAAGAACAAGTGTTATCCACTCGTTCGCTATCATCATTCAATGAATCCAAGATTTATAATGCAAACAAATACAACAGAATTAATAATATAATAACTCAAAACAAGAATAATTTCATGAAACTGAACTGATAAATGTCAACACCAAAATAACGTGCATTAAATCCAAATTAGAATGCTTTTGACTTAAGGCAATATCGAGGCAATCCGTACAGCATGCACACATGCTAATAAGAGACTGATCAATTGAAGTCCTAAACATCAATGGGAAGATTCAAATAAGCAATACAAAATGAATTTGTCTTTTTCTGTGTTGTATTTTTTCTTCCATCATGACTGATTGTGCTATACTTGACACGTTCGTAGCACGATGGAGTGGTAGTTTCGTCGTGGAAAACTCCACATTTTTCCATGTAAGCTAGTAAAAACAACAGAGAACAAAACACACCCTCCATCATAAAGTACAATAGTGTCAGGTGCAGGGTCAAAATTACAAATAAGAGTGGAGTTTATCCTTACCCCATTACACTCTTAAACTATATCAAGCAGGTACATTGTTTGTTTGTTTGTTTTTGGACAAAAAACATGGGATAGAAAAAAATGCACTTAGATAATCAGTTCTTTGATGATCGATCTATCATTAATCTATTCTTCCTTTTATATTATTTTGTGATTGGTTAATTATGATATTGATCAATACACATTGCCACTTACAATGAACCAGTTGAAGTGTAATTATCTGACTAATTGATTAGTTGAAATACTTAAAGTTAATAGGTAGGTAAAAATACTAAACTAGAAGGCGATAAAAAAAACCTTATCGAATTGTGATTTTATTAGCAATTAGAAATGTAGGGGTTATAAGCAAAGATGGACAATGGATAGCAGTGGAAGCCAGTTTGACGCGCGTTTCATACTATTTGGGACTCGTTAGCTGGATATATCTGCATCTCAGAGTTGATGTTCACTCTGGGACTCAAACCTAGTACCGTTCGCTTCAAACGCCTTCGCGTTATCCATTTAGCTACTGAGTCCTGATAGCCACTTACTAGTGTATTGGTGTGAAGTTGAAATTCACTTGGTATTGTTTATTTGAATCTTCCCATTGATATTTAGGACTGCAACTGATCAGTCTCTTATTGGTTTATGTGCGTACTATGAGCATTATCTCGATATCGCCTTAATTCACAAGCATCGGGAAGATTCAAATAAAAAATACCAAGGGAATGTAGGGGTTATTTCAACCTATAATCATATTTCTTTCGTATGAGGATAGTTATCCTCTTTCAATATTCACTAATTGTGCAATATTCAATATTTCAGGGTATTTTTTGTTCATTTAAAATGTATTACTATTGCATAGAAGAGTATAATTTTCACTGGGGACTTCATTTCAACCATTTGAAGTTATCTATCTACATATATGTTATATGAATACGAAGCATTCTAAATTGCCGGATGAAAAAAGCAAATAAATTGAGAGTTAGAGCTTGAAATGAAATCCTTATTTATTTATTATTTGTTTAAACACAATGGTACAAGGAGGCACCACATAAATCATTCGATTTGTGTGAGGGCTGGAATACTGCCCGGGTGCCCAAATAAAAACAGGTGGTTTTCTTAGGAGGCCACACCCGGAGCCTTCGATCTAGAGGTCTAATCCACAAGAAACGTCAAGAGATGCAATCCCATGGTAGCCGGTGATCAACAATTGGTTCATACGCCATTCGTCCCCTCAAGATTCTGTAACTTATGGTAGGACCTTGAGGAACGGTTGTTCCAGCCAGTATAACTCGGTTGCTTCGTCACGATAGGCAAGCCCGACCACCACGTCAAGGTTGCAACAACAGTCGGGTATAGAACATTATTTGGAGACTTACTTTTTAAACTACCACAGTATAAACAACTTACAAACTAATGAATTTTTAAAAAAACTGCCGAGAAATATGACGAATCACATTAGAGTCCATATTAGTGAATGTCATTACTGACTTGAGTTTAATCGTATTTATAAGTAGACAAAAATGATTTATAACTAATAATGAATATCAGTATAGGGGTTGCCGAGATCATTAAGTTTTTTTTATTGAGATCATAAACCGATTGATGTTAGACCACCACCTTTGGAAACCTGGAAGCAATGGATGGCCGTTTCGTCCATTGCAGGACTCCTCAGCAGTGCGTATCCGTGATCCCACTCTCTTGTACTGCTGAGGAGTCCCATAATAGGACGAAACGGCCGTCCATTGCTTCCAGGTTTTCAATGGTGGTCTGACATCAATCGGTTCATGATCTCAATGATAATGAATAATTTGTTCATTCTTAATATCCTATTCTAACACTTTTTGGTGACTATAAATTAAATTGATGTTTCAGATGACTTTATAAAACTTTGTTTAGTGAGCTGATGATAAGTTTATATGTACCGACCAAATTTTAGAAAAGATCTAGATAAATTGGTGAGATTATAATTTATAGACGAACTAATCAGATATAAAATAATGAGTCTTGAATTTTGGCGCGAAATTCATTCATGCATTTGGCTAAATAGCGTTTTAGTATTTTAGCTGATGTCAGTTCGTGATGAAAACCCTAAATCGAACTCCTAACCTTAACTGTCAACTGTAAATCATAATTTTAATTCATCACACTGCTTTATAACCTTCATTTAGCCCTAATATGTAGGTGCACATTCTAAAGGTCACTTAAGGGTTGCTCAAAGGTCGTTCATAGACTATAGTCTCACCGGTAAATGTTCTAAATCGTCTCTAGTCAGTCCATGAATGAATCTAATACCATTGTACTAAACTCAAATAAGCTTTACAGAATTTTTAATCGGTATTTCTTTCTTTATTCCTCTATTCAGCTACCGGATTCATTGATTTTAATGGATTTCTAATTTGTTATGGAAAGAAACTTCAAGAAGATCAAGATGAAAGAGATTTAAGAGATGCATTCCGAGTTCTGGACAAAAATAAACGTGGAGAAATTGATGTTGAAGATTTAAGGTAAATTCAGATTCTTGATAATTTCACTCGTCTTTCAAATATTCATCATCTAATTGGATTTTTTGAAGTGAACTTCTAGTTATAAATAAGTACTTGATCTTGTAGCCGGTATGCATAAAGATGACTATATAATCCGGTGAATATCTTTTACACGTGCCTATATTAATAGCCCAGTAATATCTCCAGCCTGACCTCAACACAAAATAAAAGCAACTCTGTCTAATATCAGTATGAGGTCTAATACATCAGAGACCAGAGGTTATTAAACAGCTGACGAGAACCGACGAAATAAAAATGAATTCATGATATTCTGCTAGAATGTTTGTTCTTGCTCTTTTCAAAATGATAAAGGGAACTATGTGTATGAGATTATCAAACAATTTGACTGAAAAGAAAATTAAATTCTGTTGGATGTATGAAATGAGTGATCGAAAAATAATAGTTTCATTCGAATTTATGAAGGGATCAATTACGTAGTATAATGAGTTACCTAACAGTTCAACTTTAATGTGATCGTGAGCGTATAGTTTTATATACACATGTAAACTACTCATGAGTAGCATGAAATGCTTGCGAAACATTTCTTTGCATTAATTTTTTTGATTTCATCCTTCTTACAGATGGATATTAAAAGGTCTAGGTGATGATCTTACTGAAGAAGAAATAGACGACATGATTCGAGATACTGATACCGATGGATCAGGATTTGTCGACTTTGATGGTCAGTTTATTCATATATATATTGGTTGTTCGAATCAACCCATTGGTGTTGAGAACTGCAATTGATCTATCTTTTATTGACATGTATGCATCCTGTACGAATTGCCTCGGAACAGCCATTCAATCACAAGCATTTTAAGCAGAAATGTATGGTAGGTAGCTGTTAAGTCTAGGATGAGCGTTTTATCCTATATGGGATTCGTCACATGTACATATCTGCCGCATCCGAATTAATGTTCACTCCGGGACTCGAACCCACTATCGTTCACCTCAAACGTCAACGCGTCATCTACCTAGCTCATCTACTTAGTTCAATAAAATTATTTACATTTGTAGAATACAATTTTTCAACACTTAAATTTTTCGTCAGTAAAATTATCCCAACAAGTCATCAATCGGATAGTTTCTGTTCTGAAATATTCACATCCACTTTAATTCTGAGTTGTAATACAACACAATAATAGGCTGTAAAAATTATCTATACATATCTATTTTATGATTAACTTGGCTGACAAAGAGCATCATCAAAAACCACTAGAAGGTGTTTTCAGCTAATTTAGAGATCAAAAGGCTTTTAAGCAACTAATGATACGTAATATTATGATTATTAGCGATGTATTGATTATCATATGAACACATTGGTATATCAACTGGATAACGCCACTCTAATCATTATAAACTGCCAATAAACCCTGTTTGAGTTATGAAAACCGTCGTAATTTAGTGAACCACTGATGGATCAGATGCCTATAATAAAGTTTTAGATCTGGAAACTAGTATGAGATTCTGTAGCAGTTTGCACCCATAATCCCTCCATGAATCAAATACAGAACCGTCTGGGCTCATAGAGGGTTTAATACAATTAGCTCCAACTTCAGGTAATGAACATAATTTGTGATCTTTCGGTCATGTTACTCAGCTTCATACTAGAACGACACATCCGTCCAATATTTTTGGTTTTCTAATTAATAAATCTTAGTATTTATGTTCACACAATTACTCGAATCTAGTATTTTTCACTTTACACCGTTATAGGCTATTCATTAAGCCCATTAACTGGTTCTAATTGCATAAATTTATATATACATGGCTGTATAAAACTGAATTTTATTTAACCTTTGTTGTCATGTTTGTGTATCTTGAGTATATTGTTGCCTTAATACTAGCATGTAGTTATGAAAAAAAAGAAGTTTATCATCTTCTATTAACGTTCATTTTCTCCACCGAAATTAAACTATCTGTTATAGATTGTTGTCTTGTAATATTTATCATGAGATAATATCGCCAATTTGAGACACCAACTTATACGACCAAACCAGTGACCCATAAAACCTGTACAAACAGCCTAGAGTTCTTAATGAACATTTGAGATAGTAACTTCTCGCCTAACTCAGCCAGTTCAAGACAGAACTTAAATACCAGCCTTCGTTACATGAGTCATACATTTCAGACATACTATGTTTATATACTAGTGATGATGTCACAGGTATTCAGTGTTTGACAACGCTTCTACCAGTAACACCTTCTAATATATTTCGTTCCCGCCCAGAGAAATCAAAAGACAGAGTCGAGGAGATCGGAAGAGTATATTTGGCGATGACCAATATATCGGAATTCTCTGATCTAATCTGGCTAGCGATTGCGGTTGATGTTGAGCACGGCGTTACCACACGTGATCTGGTGCGGATGACTGACCGAGCGCCTTCAGCTAGGTGAGTCCACTAAAACATATGGTCAGCATCCAATGTCGAAAACTTAGTGCTATTTATTTTGGGGATTTATTTACCGCTACAGATCACTCCCCCCCTAGTGGGGCAGTGACGACCCTAAGACATGGCCAGCCAGAAGTTTAAACCCAACGAGTTTGTCGTTGGTAAACACTCTTCTGATAGCTTACTAAATTTAGCAGCGTCTGGTCGTCTTTCCTTACTATATGGGACGGAGGTACAACATAGTAAAAAAAGAAAATGTACATGGAAAATTTCGGATCCTCATAAACGTCATCGTTCTTTTCCAGCCGTCCTGGAAAAGAAAAAAGAAAATGTAAGTGCATGTCGAAATACACTCGTATGTGCGTCAAAGCACAATGTCGGCGGAAAAAAAAATGGAAAATAAACTCATGAACACGTAATAGCGTTAAAAAAATTGTTTTTTTGTTTTGTTTTTTTTTAAATAGAAATAAAAATATATAAGCATATTAAAATTGTTTTTTTTTTTTAAAAATAATATAAAATGTCGAGAAGTGCCTTACGTGCAATAGTCGTTTAGATGTTCTGGAAATCTCACCCTTCTTCCAGAACGCGTCGTTTTAAGTTTATTTTCGGATACTGTCGAAGTATCATCGTGTGTGTTGGTTGTCGGATGAGGTATTATAAGTGTCGGAGTCGTGTCGTTCAATTGTACCGAAGGAAAATCCACGTAGATAGGATTTCCTTCTAAATACGCTGCTTTTAAGCGATCGATACTGATGCTATCGTTGGTTCCGTTCTTATCGACTATATAGTACTTAGATTCACGTTGAAGAACTTTGAAGGGTCCTTCGTATGCTGATTCGAAGGGTCGTCGATGCGAGTCTCGACGAACGAAAACGTGTGTACTATATCGTAAGTCAGGTTGAACGAAAACATCAGTCGATTGAGGTCGGGTGGAAGCAGGTTTAACTGAACGCATTGCGTTTGTAAGCCTGTTCGTGTAGGAGGTTAGATCCATGTTCATTGAAGAGGATGAAGGATCCACAAATTCTCCTGGAAGTCGAAGTGTCGTACCATAAACGAGTTGAGACGCCGTGTATCCAATGTCAGCTTTCACTGCATTGCGGATACCTAGTAAGACGAGTGGAAGAGCGTCGGTCCACTGTGAAACGTTTGTAGCTGATAGCGAAGCTTTCAGTTGTCGGTGAAAACGTTCTACCAACCCGTTTGCTTGTGGATGGTAGGCGGTCGTTCGGAAGCGAGTGCTTCCTAAAAGAGTGGTCAGACGACGGAAAAGATCAGATTCAAATTGACGTCCGCGGTCTGTAGTGATGGTTGAAGGGCAGCCGAAGTTTGCTACCCATCGTTCGACGAAGGTGCGAGCCACTGTTTCAGCAGTGATGTCCTTGATAGGTACTGCTTCTGGCCATCGAGTGAAACGGTCTACGCAGGTTAGGAGATAAGAGTATCCATTTGAATCTGGTAAAGGTCCTACCAAATCCAGATGAACATGGTCGAAACGAGCATCGGGAGTTTTAAACGAGCCTAAGGGACATTTGTTGTGTCTGATAACCTTAGATTTTTGGCAGCTTACACAGGAGCGTGCCCACTCCCTCACGTCTTTATTCATTCCAGGCCAGCAAAACCTTTCTGCTATAAGCTTGATGGTTGCACGAACACCTGGATGCGAAAGTTTGTGCAATGTGTTGAAGACATTGCGTCGATAATGTTTCGGCACGATTGGGCGATCCCTACCTGTAGATGTGTCACAAAGTAAGGTTTCCTTACCTGTTCCCATCTGTTTGATGCGTAGTTTAAGTGTTGTGGACGATAACTCGTGCTGAAGATCAGTGTCTTCTTTTTGAAGCTCGGCGAGTTTAAGAAGGTCGATTCCTTGGAAACTGTTCAAGGAAGTTATACGAGATAAAGCGTCTGCAACTACATTGTTTGCTCCAGAGACGTGTTGAATATCTGAAGTAAACTGCGAAATGTAGTCCAGTTGTCGAGACTCACGGGGAGAGTACTTGTCAGAAGGAGAGCTTAACGAGAAAGTAAGCGGTTTATGATCCGTAAAAAGAGTGAATTCACGACCTTCGATGTAGTGTTGGAAATGCCGTACAGCACAATACATAGCTAGGAGTTCCCTACCGAATGTGCTGTACCTCGATTCGGTGTCTAGCAACCGTCTAGAGAAAAATGCCAAGGGTTGCCAGGAGTTGTTAACCCATTGTTGTAAGACTCCTCCGATTGCTGAGTCGGATGCGTCTACTGCGATGCTAATGGGTGCTCGGGTGTCCTGATGTGCGAGCATTGTTGCTTTAGCAATCAGTTCCTTAACTGTGGAGAATGCTTTTCGTGCGGTGTCGTCCAAATTAATGGATTTCGCATTTCCACGAAGTTGGTCGGTCAGAGGTTTCATAATTATTGCGCATTTGGGTATGAAACGTCTATAGAAACTTACCAGGCCGTTAAACGTGCGTAATTGCTTGACGGTGGTCGGTTCTGGGTAATCCAGAATGGCCGCCACTTTGGTCCTAAGAGGTCGAATGCCTTGAGCATCGATAGTGTGTCCTAGGAAGTCTAACGAGTTGGTTCCGAATTGGCATTTCTGAACGTTTACAGTTATGCCATGTTTTTGAAGTCGTTCGAAAACAAGATCCAGATGCTTGAGATGTGTTTCTCTGTCCGGACTTGCGATTAGACAGTCATCAACATACGCGTGTACGAAGTTGAGACCTCGAAAAACGTCGTCTATGAATCTTTGGAATGTTTGAGCAGCATTCCTTAGACCGAAAGGCATACGCAAAAATTCATAGAGTCCGAAAGGAGTTATGATAGCTGTTTTCGGTATGTCGTCAGTAGCCATAGGGATTTGGTTATACGCTTTGACCAAGTCGATTTTCGAAAAGACAGTTGTACCTTTCAAGGTAGCTGTCAAATCGTGAATGTGAGGCAACGGGTAACGATCGGGAATGGTTTTCGCGTTCAATCGCCGATAGTCACCAGTTGGACGCCAATCGTTGCTGTCCTTTTTAGGGACCATGTGCAACGGAGATGCATATGGGCTACTTGACGGTCGTATGATTCCTAAGTCCATCATGTGATCGAATTCGTTTTTCGCTAACCTTAGCTTTTCAGGAGCTAGTCGGCGTGCTTTAGAAAATACAGGTGGTCCTGTAGTCGTGATGTGATGTGTAACATTGCTGGTTACACACGGTAGTTTCGTTTGAGTTTGTTGTATCTCAGGGTACTTATCGAGTAGTGGTTGATAGAGTGGGTCTATCATATGTTTAACTGTGACTGGGGATACTCTACAACCAGTAAAAGAAGTTACGCAAACGGACAAATTAGTGTTTCCGTCTACTAGCCTCCGTTTGCGGGTGTCGATGATCAGATTGTGGTGTTGTAGAAGGTCCATACCAATGATTGGCATAGAAACATCTGCAACAACGAAAATCCAGTGGATGGGTTTGCGTAAACCCACGTTAAGGTAAACGTACCTTTTGCCATACGTAGCGATCGGTTTTCCGTTTGCCGCCTGTAAGTTTAGGGTCGATTCGTGTAGTCGGTCGTTAGGAATCGCTGGGAGAACGCTAACTTCTGCGCCAGTGTCGACGAGGTAGCGAACTCTCGTTGTCACATCTGTGACGAATAACAGACGGCTTTGTTCGCCGGCTACGGTTGCCGTTAACGCGTGCCGGCTTGGAAGTTTCCCGAATTGTTTTTCGAATCAGTCGGTTTCGTGTTGGGAAAATTGCAGGGTTTTCTGCAATTTCTGGAAAGCTTTCCATACTGGTTATGATACCAGCACCAGTCGGGGTTATCTGTCTCTCGTGGTCTAGAGACAGATCGCTTACGAGAAATGCTTCTACGTGGTGTGCGCGATCTCTTACGGTCGTTACGAAGACTAAGATAACGCGTGAGTGTGTGACATAAGTCGTTTATATCATTCTGAGTCGTTTGAGGTTTTTCTTTGACTGAAAATACCTCGGTAGTAGATTTCGTAATTTCTAATATGCGGTCGGCAGATACAGCTAGCTCGTCTAAGGCGTTGTTCTGGAACGAGACCAGAACTGCTTGCACCTGTTGGGGAAGTTTTGACAAGAAGAGTTGTTTGAATAGGCCTTCGTCGAAAGTTCTTGGGCCTATAACCTCTCTCATCCGTTGCAACATGTCTGTCGCAGAACCGTGTTGCAGGTCGATATTGTTGAAGAGTTGATCTAACCTTTGTCGATCGGTTAGGTCTCCTCGTTTAAGAATCGAGCGTTTTAAGATTTCGTAAGGATCGGAAACATCACTAGTAAACATACTAGGTGTTACGTACCTGTTGAATTCGCGCGGTAGTGCCTTGACTACTGCGAGGAATTGTGCACGTGTGTCGATCACGCCGTGCTCGGAGAAGTCGGCTTCTGCGTAGCAAAACCAGGCTTCGATGTTGTCGGGCCAGAAAGGCATGAGTTGAAACGAAGGCGGGGACAAAGTCTTAAGCTTGAGTACTTTAGGTGTCTGTTCAGTCATGATGAAGTATGAAGTACGATAATGAACAAGGGGAAAATATATGTATCCAGGAAAAAACACGAAAAAAAAAAATAAGGCAATGATATATAAAAATCCCAAAAAGGAACAGACTCACAGTTGCAATTAGGTGTACCAGATCACGTCGGTTTCACCAATGTAAATCACCAACGTAGATGATCTATGTCGAAATGATTGGAGGCCTACTCCAGTTAGACGTGAATGGTGTGACGAACCAACTAACGTCGAAGTCACACCTCGTGGTCAGCACCTTACGTGGACTACCCCCATTGACGTAACAAGGTACTATAGATGCTTTGAAGACTGTACAACACAAAGGACGTTATTACAGAAATATATTAGTTAAGGTAGATACAGGCGAAAGTAAGACCACTGCCGCATGGGCCAGTCCATGGCGTATGATTAACTAATGCGCGTTTGTTGTACATGACCTTGGCAGGGAGCGACGATCTGTTCGACATTCAGTGATCCAACTGCCGGATGATTTGGCTAGGGCTCAGTGACATTTCACTGGCCCTACACTAGAAAACCAGACCTCATCGTACCATAAAATAGAAAATAACAACTATATAATATCAAGACAAAAAGTGGCTGTGATTGTAAGAAACTGTAGCTAATAAATGGGGAATACCTCAAGAATAGTAAATCGTAAAATAGTAGTCAATAGGTCAAACAAAAGCTTATAATAAAAGGTATATGAATAGACACCTAATATAGTTACAATAACAATATATCTAATAATAATTCATACATAGATCTTAACAGGTACCACTCACTATTCTTCATCCGGATATACCACTATCAATATAAAGTTATAATTGTATTTTTGAATTCTTTTCTAATTATTTGTTTGCTTGTTTGTTTATACATTTTTAGAATTCTATAAATTGATGACATCTGAATAGAATTTACAATTTCACTTCAATGAACACAAGTGAAAATTTACTCAAAATTGCATTTCATTTAACCCTTTCTCTTGTAACATATTACTATTATTGTTATTATTATTATTACTACTATTGTTACTTAATCATAATGCTTCTTTATCAGTTAGTAACTTGTCTTATTGCACAATCTTAGTTTCATCAATGATGCATCGATCGATTCATGTGACTGTTTTTCTCTTTCTTTTTTGTTTACATACACCAATTACAGCTTACCCTGCAAAACTGTACTGTAGTTATGTTTGAATTTAATAATGATTCACTGTATCAGTTTTCTCCCCTATATATATTTAGTAATGTGTAATTGTATTTTGATGCATCAATCAGTCTAGATTATCTTCTGTATGTTCCTTGAATTGTCACTAATTGTAAAACCCTACTTTCTCTGTAAGCTTTAACCCCAACATTATTGAATTGTTTCTTATAAAAGGGATTAATTGAATAGTGAATTGTGCTGTAATAACTATCAGTTCTTTATGGGTTTTCCTAAAAGTAAAAAAAAGAAAATAAAGATGAATCTTACATTTTTATTAATACAATTTCAAAATTTGAAAGGATTCCTTTACATGAAATTAATTTCAATACAGAACTGTTTCTAGCTGGGTTTTTCATTATTTCTAATGAGTAAAAGCATAATATCGATCTCAGTTTGAATGATTCTTAAACTGACCACATCGATTATTGAAGGTACTTATCAACTAATCAACAGAGTGACTGAATATGTCGAAAAGTATTTTACAACAGAATTAATGATGTGTTACTAGTATAGGGGTTGTGGAAATTATTAAATTTTTGATTGAGATCATGAACCGCTATACTAGTAATCAACATGTGCTCACTAGTGACTAGCTTCGTGAGGGAATTCTCGGAGTTCTAGTGAGAAGCCGTGACCAGTGGAGCTAATCCATATCGGGTAGAGACAGGTATCTACCTCAGTACAATGGGAGTTGGTCGCGCAATTTCGTGGATTGGTTGATGTTAGACACTATCACCATTGGATGCCGACTCAGTGGTCCAGTACGTTAAGCGTCCGCGCACGAGACCGAAGGCCCTGGGTCCGAATCCCGCGAGCGAGATCGTGCATGCGCACTGCTGAGGAGTCCTGCAATAGGGCGAAACGGCCTTCTAGTGCTTCCAGGTTTCCAAAGGTGGTGGTCTAACATCAATCGGTTCATGATCTCAGTCAAAAACTTAATGAAGTGTTGTTAGGATGTTGATTAGAATCTTTCAAAGCTTATTATGAGTTTTCCAATTTTCATATTGTATTAGGTTTCTTTCATAATCTTTCTCATAGATATAAATAATTTTATAGTAAATTCATCACGGCCGACAAAATCGTTATTTTTAAATTCGTTAAAGATTTACAGAGATGAGAATTATAAGACAATGCTCTAAGGAGGATCATCGTGGAGTATACTATAGGGACGAGCTTAAAACAACTGTAACGAATATTCAACCACTTCTCAGTCAATCAGAGAACAGCTTTGTAAATGGCTAATTAATGCTAAAGAAAATAATAAGTAGAGTTTATATATTTAATGAATCTATTAATGGCTTTTACAAGTTACACTACCTGTAAATCGAAAAAACAATAACATATGAACTCGTCCTTACAGCTATAAATTGTTTACTTTCTCGAATTCTTATGAGAACCAAAACTGATTTTTCTGAGTCTACAAATTGTTCCTAGTTAAACTTAAGTAATTGGAGTTAGGCTTAGAGACTTAGGTTTGGGTATTTAATCATTAACTGACATAAGCTATAATGTAAAAGTGGTCAGTAGCCATATAGATGGATGAATTTCACGTGAAAATAGAAGGGACACTATCTGATCAGTCGGTTCATAAAATTTAGTGCCATTAGGTTATGATTTGTTTCGTGATTCATGGTTTATAGTTAGAATTTAGGGTTAGTTTCGATTTAGATTTTATATGTGATCTAAAAAGGTAGAATTAGACTTAGGATATGTTTAACAGTATCACATTTCCTGTTATCATATCGAAAGTTTAGAGTAATGTACAGAAGAATATCTGATCGTTATAAAATGGTATTTGGATTTTCCGCAAAAACCTAAAGGTTTTAGTACTGAATCTGATTGGCCCATCCCGATCCTATACTTTCCTATAACGTTCACAGATAATGATAATCCATTTATGATTAATTAATTGATCAAGGTTGTTTAATTTGAACTCTTTAAGAAAACTAGGGGTTGACATATTTACATATTTGAAGACATTGGACAAAAAGCCTGAAACTTGAGTTTCATGGTAGTTGGAACTTATCAACAAGTCCTACATGAAACATTATTAAGTAAACTAATACTCGTCAAGAAATGTGAACTTTTATCGCTCAATGTAACAGTCAGAATGGTTACCATTGAGCTATCCGTTTCGCGATTGACATTTTATCGAACTTATGTTCATACTGAGTGATCAGTGAGTAGTAACCAATGTTATACTTGTCAATCGAATTCTATAAGTATGTCCTTTTCACCCTATATATTTTAGTATCGTGATATAAAAAATAGATTATATCTCATAAAATGTGAATAGTCGGTTCTTTATACGACCGAAAAATTTAATATACCAGTTGATTCCACCAACATCTAACTCCTCGAAATAAGTTTGGTTTCTATTTAATTAAATAACCTTCAGTTATTCATTTGTATTGGTTAATCTGAATCATCCATTGATGTTGAGGACTGCAATTGATCTATCATTTTACTGACATGTATTCATCCTGTAAGGATTGCCTTGAAATAGTCATTCAGTCATAAGTATTTTAACTAGAAATGAATGCTAACCTAGCTGTGAAGTTCCGGATGAGCGTTTTATCCTATTTATGATTCATCATCTGTATATACTTACCACATTCGAATTAATGTTCACCCCAGGGCTTGAAATAAATAGGATAAAGCATAAAATCTTGATATCCACTGCTAACTATCATATATCTCTTCTTATAATGTTTGATTATGTTATGAAAGTATCACTCATCACTGTTTGATTTTCACTTATAGTTATGTACTTGGATTAATATAATGAAAATGTTCACTATATACAAATATACATAGGAGTTGAACTCAATTCAGTTAATATAATAAATATGTATAATCAATATTTTATTTACAGTGGTGGTGACTAATCATATTGTGAATTATTTTCGGTATCTATAATCTTTTCATACCATCACACTGAATATTTGGATAGTTTCTTTGTTTGTTTGTATGTTTTTTTTGGTGACATTTTCCACCTTTAAAAAAATGGGATTTTAAGAAATCACTTAACGACATTTAATATAGAATCTTAAATTTAAACATTGTTCTGTTTATGCTAAGTGTTTCAAGACTGAACAATTCAAAGAGACAGAGAGAGTGTGTGTGCGGCCTACTTGAGCATTTGGGCTACCTGTTCCTGCCATCTACATATTTCAACAAGTTATCTAATTTTCTTTGTTTTAATGTATCATTATGTTTATTAATCGCATAACCTATTCTGCTGCGTTTCTGAAAAGCGTACAACCTTTCGTTGTCAAAATTACAAAAAACTCAATAAGAGACAATGTGGTTGCTGGCAATATACAACGAAAAGAATGCACATTATTCAGATGTTCATTTACTGAACTGCTAACATCTAACTGGCGATCACTCAATATTTATCGCCAGGACCGATCAAGAAGAAAGAAACGGAAACTTGTTGAAATACTTTGTGCTCAGAATTCTATATTGTACCAAAAATATAATATTGAATAAAGGTGATAATAATAATAATAATAATAACTTAGATTAATTAGCATGGTTTTAAACTATTCAGTCGTATCAGAATGGGTTTTGTGGATATTATGGTAATTTT